ATTGTCACCCATACTGGCACACTTAGGGAAAGAGAAAGAGTGAGAGAGAATAGGGATATACCAGGACTTTCCTGGAAAAACAGTATATGCTCCTGTTACTTGACATTGATGTAACCTTGTATGAGAGTAGGGCCAGGTCTTTTATCCCTGGCATTTGGTAGACATTTCAAAATTTTTATTGAACCCTGGCCCACTCTTAAGGTTTATATTGTTATAGCATTATCTATCTCCTCCATCTGCCTGAGATGTTCTGACATCTATGCTTACCATCAATCTTAGCTGTGTTTTTATGTGCCCTTGTTGTCCATGTGTTCTACTGTGTTTTCAGACTCCAGTTAATACCTTTTCATATATGTATATATATGAAGTTTTAGTACAGAAATTTTCCTCCTTCCTTGTATTTAATTATTTCCTCTTGAACAAATTGTGCCCTTCCCATTGCTACAAGTCTATTCAAGCCCTCCAGGGTTGCCTCATGCATGGCCTTGAAGTTTCCTGTCAGGAGGGGTAAGACATGAAATACTAATTTCAATTAGTTACTGGTTCTTTTTCATTTCACGATTATTTATTATCCATTTTATCAGACATTCTAGGATATACTGCAAGATTGTGACTTCCCCAGCATTTCTCCAGCAAATATTATCAAAACAACAAGGAATACCAGCATAAAACTTAATGACTTCTATGACATCATATATTAGCAGTAATCATGCATATTCTTATTGAGAGCAACTGTCTGAGGTTTCTTTAATTTTTGAAAGAAAATGGTACATAAATTCAGAGGTGGATGTAGTTTGGCCATTTAGGAGCAATACAATGAGTCATAGTAATCTATTATTATAAGTTCTCACATGTAATTTATTAATTGATGATGAATGTGATCTGTATGACACTGATCCCACAGGAATCAGATTTACCTTTTAAAAAACTTTCCAGAAAAAAATTAAATTAGGTAGTATTTAATCTTCACTTCTCCCCACCCCAAGTAGAAAAGAAACAAAAATCCTATATTTTTCTATTCTCTTAAAACTTTAAATAATGAAATGTACCATACCTATTTTAAAAAGTACATAAAGGAGTATCTATAACACATGTGTATGAAGTTTTTTTTCTTAAAAGAAACATGATTAATAAGTTCCTGTAGATAATTTATACTTTTTCTTTTTTATAAGGGCTTGCATTAACTGTACCATCTATTCGTTGGTCTTCAGGATACAGATCCTTAGGAAGAATTTGTTGTGATTAGAGACAGGTAGAAGTACTCTAAAATATTTAGGTGAAGTCAATATAGTTTATATTGTTTATCTCAACATGTTTCATAGTGAATATAGTATCTATGGAAAGAATTTAAAAAGAGGGACTTTTTAAAAAATAAAAATAGTGGAAAACCTAAAATCTTGGTCATTTAGGAAAGGTGAGTTGAGAGGAAACTGGCAGTTATATATACCTTAAAAGAGCTTTATTGTCATTTATTTTAGTGTCTGAAATTGACATTTGGAATTTCTTTGTTGGGCCATAGTCTTTTAGAGAGTCAAAGATCTTCCATTAAATTGATGATCCTTGAGATATCATTTCTTATTTATTATGAGCAGTCTCTGGGACATAGTAGGTGTTCAAGAAAATGGTACTGAATAAATACTAAGGTACAGACATTGCAAAGAACATTGAGAAGGATAATACTTGGTGCTCAACTAATACTTGACAAATGACCATGAGTAATCAACCTTGACCAATGAGTGTGAACACTGTATGCAGATCTCCTAGGCTCTTGGCATATCTTTTTTTCTGATTTCAGATGCATTTAATTATGTTGTTAGGGGTAAGAAGTGTGGGTTTCAATGAGATTAGGGAGGGAAGAGAGAGAGAGAGACAGAGAGGACGGTTTTAAAGGGACTCTTGCTCTTCAAATTAATATCATTTAATTATGATTACAGGAGCCGGTGCTGTGGCGTAGCGGCTAAAGCCACTGCCTGCAGTGTCCACATCCCATATGGGTGCTGGTTTGAGTCCTGGCTGCTCCACTTCTGATCCAGCTCTCTGCTATGGCCTGGGAAAGCAATAAAAGGTGGCCCAAGTCCTTGGGTCCTTGCACCCATGTGGGAGACCAGGAAGAAGCTCCTGACTCCTGGCTTCAGATCAGCGCAGCTCCAGCCGTTGTGGCCCTCTGGAGAGTGAACCAGCAGATGGAAGGCCTCTCTCTCTCCCTCTCCTTCTCTCTGTGTGTAACTCTGACTTTCAAGTAAATAAATAAATCCTTTTTAAAATTGTGATTATAGTGTTTATGATGTACTGAGTTATCTATGACTTAAAAGTATGCTTACATTTTGATAAATGAATACATATGATTAGTAGAACTTTTGTTGTCCTGTGATTCAGTGGTATAAACTTCTAGGATGAAATGTAATTCCCATTTATAGATTTTTTTAGGAAAAATTTCAGTTTTATAGAAATCTGCTTTATCATACAATGTTTATGAATTATATTAAAAAGCAAAAAGTTTGTAGCCACAACGGAAACTTTGTGATTATCATCACCATTATCACTTTTACATTACATTTACATCATTACATTTACATTAAACTGGGGGTGTAATGTAGTTCACTATTTTTTTTAAGATTTATTTCTTTATTTGAAAGAGTTACACAGAGAGAGGAGGGGCAGACAGAGAGATAGAGAGAGAGAGATGGAAAGAGAGAGAGAGGTCCTGCATCCGCTGGTTCATTCCCCAACTGGTCAAAATGGCCAGAGCTGTGCTGATCTGAAGCCAGGAGCCAGGAGCCTCCTCCGGGTCTCCCACATGGGTTCAGGGGCCCAAGGACTTGGGCCATCTCCCACTGCTTTCCCAGGCCATAGCAGAGAGCTGGATCAGAAGTGGAGCAACCAGGCCCATATGGAATGCTGGCGTCTCAGGCCAGGGCATCAACCTGCTGTGCCACAGACCCCAGTTTATCATTTTCCATCTATTAACCAAGCGTTATTTATTGCATAACTCTGAGAGGTTCAGAAGTTAAAGGCCCTAGCTAATAAATGTCAGGCCTTTGGAATGATCAACTATTTAGCATTAATCTAGATGCCCTATTCCTACCAACTGTCCTTCAAGTACAAAATATTCCAAAATCCTTACCTAAGCCACAATCCAGCTTTCTCTCCTTTGTAGTTTTCCTTTCTTCTTTAATTGCCCTTTCTTCTTTCCTGTTGTCTCATCTCAATGTTCACAGCTAAAAGGATAGCCAGAGACTGGTTGGGGTGTGATACAGATGGAGCAAGAAAAGGGGGATAAGACAATACAGATTTAATATTTTAATTTACTTATACACTCACATGCACATAATTCTTCTATAACATAAATGCAGATTTACAAGTGAATGTATAAGTAAAAATAAAGACATAATATGAATACTGCAGAGGAGAGGTGCAATTTCTTAATCTAAAAAAAAAAAAGAAAGAAACCCAAAAACTAAGGCAAAACACAAAACAAATTGTCCAAGTGCCCAACTATCTCTTCTAATTAAAAAACAAAAACAAGAGGAAAGAAAACAAACAACAACAAAAAACCCTTCTCTTTCCTCTGATTTGTGTGCATGTCTGGCTTTCCTGGAAATGAAGACCTGGAGTGAGAATGCGTAACAGAATGTATAACTGGAGACAGAAGGTCGAATGCAGAATAAACTCCATTTTTAAAAATGCTCCTCATTCCTAAGGGCATTCCCTTTGCTATTTACATAAGAATTCTCCTTGTGCCTTTTACAGTTACTTAGGTATAACAAATGTGGAATCCTTACCATTTCTAGGTGGAAGTGTGTAGATCAACAGACGTTATAACGATAAAGGTTCCTAAAGACAGTGATTTCTCAGTGTGCTTTTTATTAAACAATGGGGAAAACTTTGTATATGGCTACAAGTTGATATTTCCAAAAGTGTACTTGAAGACAATAGAAAATAGTTATCACACATGTTTCTTAACGGTTTAAAAACTTAAATATGATTCTTAAGAAAACATGACAGAAAAACAGACAAAAATTCCATTTTAGTTTGTTTTGATATTAATATTTTGATGTATCCATCCGCCCCATGGATTTTGTTGTTGTTGACAACTTCTGCCTTACTCCCCCCCTACTCCCGCTTCAAAAGTAACTGACTTAGAAAGAGCAATTAATAGGTTGGATTTCAGAAATGCCCTAAAGGAGAGAAGAGGCACAAAGGGCAAAGCCAGCCACATTAACCGCCCTCCCTTGTCCAGTCCTGTCATGGGAAGCGGCAGAAGAACTCCCTTGACGTGGACGAGCGCTCCCTCATTGCGAAGACAGTTTTATGATCCACGAGGAGGGATGTATGTGTTTGGGAGTGCCCAAGTCTTCAGAACTGCTGCAGACAGCTTCCTTCGTTGACCTGGGATGCAATGGCTGCTAAAGCCTGCAGGTCAGAAGCAAGTGGGGAGGGAGATGCCATCTGCTAAATCTGAACACGTTAAATCTCAGGATTGAGACCATTTCCAGTCAGCAAGGGCTTGCCAAGAGCATACAGTTCCTTTTCAGGAGTCTACTCTGAAGGGCACAGAGTGGACGTTTGCCCGCCATTCCATTTGCAGTAGGATCTCTGCAGCTGCTGGTAAGCAAAAAGGGGGAGTGGTGAGTCAAGAGAGGCGGAAGCCAGAGAAGCGCGCTAATTGGAGAGGTCAGCAGCGTGTCCAGCTCAATGGCCTAGGCTCGCCAGGCTGAGACGCGGACCCTCTCGGCTTCCGTTCGCTTCCGGTTCCCTCAGGTGCAACGCGGATCCCTCCGCCGCTGCGTGCGCTCCCGGTAGCGTTGTAATCAGCTTTTCGGTGATACCCGGATGGAAGTGTAATGGCCGCCATCAGGGACTCGCAAGCCATGGGGACCACTACAGGTACTCCCTGTGAGCGGGACCGCCCAGACAGGTTAGGATGCCGCGACTTCTAGAGAGCCAGCCAGGGGGCTCAGAGCGAGTTTGTGGGAGCATCAGGATCCCCCCCAAACAGGATCAGGGTTCCGCCTCTTGTGATAGGAAGCGCTTGTAAAATAGTCCCGGCCATTCAGCGCTTCCGCCTAACTTGCCGCAAAGTTTTTCTAGAGAAGTCGGTCTCTTCACCCGGCGCTTTTGCAGGCTGCGGGAGAGGACACTTCGCTTCTTAGCTTGGGCTTGCTTTCCGTCCGGGCTTTTTGAACTCTCAACTCTCCTACATCCTAGCAGCTGGGCGGGAGCGCGGCGACAGTGTACCTCCGCGCGCCTGAGGGGCGCCGAACCCCGGAGGAAGGGGCGGATCGGGCGCCGTGTTTGGGGCGAGACGGGGCGCGCCGCGCTCGAAGCACCCACTGAGCGGGTTCCGCGGCTGGTGGAGACAACATGGGCGCCCCTCAGGCTGCACCCCTCGAGCTGTAGGTTCGCCGGCCCCACTCGACGGCATCCCTATTGTGGGCTCAGTCTATGGTCATTGGGGGCCATTTCTTGCAGAGATGCCCAGCGCCCTGGCGCGCGCACCCTGCTCCAGAGTTGGCCAAAGGTGCTGTTCCTGCAGACCCCAGCCACACCCAGTGGCTGATGGATTTCTTTGTAACTGGCTTGCTCCCTTGTAGGGTCCATTTTGAGTCTTTTTTTTTTAAACATGGTGTCCTCTTTGTAGACAATCTCTTTCTACATGGTTATGGTGATTGAAAATATATAGGGTGCTTTATATAAGGTAAAATATCTTAACTCTTAAGTAGGCCAGCAAAATTAGATGTAGTTGTAAAGTTCAAAATTCAAAAGTTAAGGCTCAGTTTTCTTTTTAGGTTTAAGTTCGGGGGCATTTAGTGTTTGTGAGCTGTTTTAGTGAAAACATTGAATATGTTATCCAATAAAACCCTAAAAAAAGTAGTTGGTATTTAAAGAATTCATAAGAATGTTGAGAGTTTGTACAGTTGTCACGGTTGCAAAACACGAAGACATCAAGCTACCTCAGGATAGGAATTTCATTAATTTTAGAGTTAGTATTAGGTTTAGTTTACCGATATCGTTGAATTGCTTTTTTTTTTTTTTTTTTGCAGCTAGGCCTCTGATTTGATTGTATTCTAGGGTTAGTATCCTAAGTTAGTATCCTGATTGAATAGCTAGAAACCATTTAAATGGATTTAGGGGAATTCCCTAACATTTTCGGGTTTGAATTGCAAAACCATACAAGTAGACTCATTATCTTTCAGCAAAACTGCTTTTTTTTCCCCTGAGATTTATAAAGACAGACGTATTGTATTATCGTTTTTTAGAGTGTTAGCATATCCTGGGAAAGGTAAGCATGGTAGACCATGGTGATTTTTTCTAAAATTATAAATAAGATCCTTCCCCGATCCAGAACATTGTTAACAGAAGAGAGAGGGAGGATAAAATGTAGGTATAGTGCCTGTTTTGCACATCTAAATGTGTCCTTGTTTTTGCAGTGAAAATAATTGCCAGTTCAAAATGTTTATATCTAGTTTTATGGAAGTAAAAAGGGATATTACAGTGAACACCTACTCTGTTCATTCATGATATCTGATCTTTTAAATGCCTGAGGTTCTTACCATTTTCACTTCAAATCCTATCCTTTGTCAGTAATACACATGATCCCCCCAATTTTGTGTCTTAAAATATTATGGAGGGATATATTTTAGTGTGAGTTAGTATAAGTCTGTAGTTTGACTTCAAAATACCCCTTAAAACACCTTCTCAAAATATTGTTTACTTTTCTGGTTGGAGTTTGGAATTGTTCTTATTGAAGTATTGCATGCTTTAGATCACTTAATACAACCTTTTTTTTTTTTTTTTTTTAAATTAAATGATGCCAGACTTGAATCTTGCCCAGTTTCCTTCAGGTACACTACTAAAAGATTTTTTGGCAGATCACTATAAGCAGAAGAAAAGGGTTATAGTAGAGTCTTGAATTTTTTTATTATTTTATGCCAGTGTGTAGGCCATGATGAACAGTTTTCATGAGCTGTTAGATATCAGAAGTGACCATTATGGGGTGGTGGTAGGATAACTGGATTGTAGTCAAATCCATATGCTGGTTCTAGTTTTGTGAGTTTGAACAAGACTAATTTTCATTTGGTCTTGTATTACATGAAGATACTGAATTAGATTGATTCTAAGCCTTGAGTTGTGACTTTTGTGAATGATATCAGTGATGTGTTATATGACTAAGTGTAGAGAGGGTTTTTTTTTTTTCTAAGTACTTTATATCCCTAAATTGAATATGAACTGTAATTGAAACACACTACAAAAACATTTTACTGACATTTTTGTAGTCAGAGTTTTAAAATCTTGATCTTCATTTCCAGATATCATCTCTTTTGATCACTGTTCCTGATTGTGACGTTGTCCAAGCATTAAATTGTGTGCCTTTTGATCCTTGAAGAGGTATGGTAAAGATTGATAATACTACAGTATATAGTCTATAAAGTTGTGAGATAATTTGATGTCAGATTGAATAAAGTAGCTGTATATATACATGAGATTTTGTAAGTTAAAGTTTTGTTGTTGCCAAAATAAATACTTAGATTTTTATTTTATTGTAAACAAAAATAATTTTTGTTTTCCTGATATCTTAACATTTTATTAGTGATCTAAAGATGGTTTTAACTGTTAAAAGTTTCCCAAATACAAAGTGGCATGAAGGGCTTTTGAGTACTAAACAATGGAGATAAATATTCTGGATAGATGTTTTGAAGCTAAAATAAATGACCAGAAGAGTAGCCTGTGTTTTGGTTTAGTAAGTACAAAGTAATGCATCTAAAGAAAAGTTATATATGTTATGATTATGATTATGATTTGTAAAAGGTATTTGGAACCACTGTAATGACTGATTCCTGGAGACAGTCATCTGACTGTTCTGATGTGGACAGAAAGAAGGAAAAAAAATCTTATGAACATATCCATGATAATTAGCAGGAAAGCTTTGGAAATGCGGTGGAAAATATTGCACCCTTGTACAAAAAGTATAGTTTATCCTTGAAACATAGATGTCTCTTGTTTTTGGTGTTTGGATAGAATCTGCGATCTTTGAATCCCAGAATTCTTTGAAAGTCACAGTTACACACAGAGAGGAGAGGGAGAGAAAAGGGAGAGAAAGAGAGAGAGGAAGAGAGAGAGAGAGAAAGAGAGAGAAAAGTCTTCCATCCACTGGTTCAGTCCCCAGATGGCTGCAACGGCCAGAGCTGCACCGATCCGAAGCCAGGAGCCAGGAGCTTCTTCTGGGTCTCCCACGTGGGTGCAGGGGCCCAAGGACTTGGGCCATCTTTTACTGCTTTCCCAGGCCACAGCAGAGAGCTGGATCAGAAGTGGAGCAGCTAGGACTCAAACCAGCACCCATATGTGATGCCGGCACTGCAGGTGGCAGCATTACCTGCTGTGCCACAGTGCTGGTCCTGAGTTTTTTGTTTTCTTAGAAAATTAATGTCTAACAGCAACAAAGCTTGAGTTGAGTCACTTAGGTTATTTTCTTGAGTATCTACTTCCCACATAACATTTCTTTGACCTCTTACCATGAGATTCACATGGATACTGTGTTGTTTCTGAGTAGAGAAGGTCATGCTGAGTGCTGAGAGGTGCTGTTTGATCCAGAATACTTAGAAAGAATAATACATTAAAGGGTGAAAGTGTCAGATCCAGTTAACCAGAGGCTGCTTTGTGATGTCTGATCAAAATGTGTTGAATTATTCCATTTTGAAAAATTGTGAGCAAAGTCTGACTAAAAATTTAGTTGTGATATGATGAAACAAGTGTCAAAATATTAAAATCAGTGTGCATGACTTGAAGCTTAGGAGAATTTTTCAGGTTTTATAGGCATCTTATTTCAAGAAGTAGTAATAATTAAAAACAAATGTTGGCCTTATAGAAAGTCAAATAATTTCAAAGTTGATAAAATTGTAATCGCTTCCTAATTAAAATTGGATTGTTGAAGGTTGTGGGTGGTGGAAGGCATCGTGTGTGTGTGTGTGTGTGTGTGTACACATACATACTTGAAAGAGTTACAGAGACAGAGGTCTTCCATCCACTGGTTCACTCCCCAAATGGCCGCAATGGCCGGAGCTGGGAAAAAGCCAGGGTTGAGCCAGGCTGAGGCCAGGAGCCTGGAATTGCATCTGAGTCTCCCATATGGGTGGCAGGGGTCCAGCTACCTGGGCCATCCCCTGCTGCCTTCCTAGGTGCATTGGCAGGGACCTGGATCAGAAATGGAGCAGCTGGAACTTGAACTAGTGTTCAAATGGGATGCCTACATTGCAGGCAGCAGCAGCTTAACCCGCTGTGCCACAACACCAGCCCCAGAGGCATTCTTTGGTGTCAAAGTACTTAGAGCTTAGTGAAGAAATCTAGATTAACATATAGGAAACATAATACAAAAAAGATATGTGACTATGCAGTTTTAAGTCTGAGTTCCAACAGGAAAGAGATGAATGATGGTTGGGCCATTTAGGAAGATTTCTTGATTTTTTTTTTTTGTTTTTTAATTTATTTATTTGAAAAGCTGAGAGAGAGAGAGAGAGAGAGAGAGATCTTCCATCCACTGGTTCATTCCCCAAATGGCCTCAATGGCCAGGGCTGGGCTAGGCCGGAGCCAGGAGGTTTGTCCAAATCTCCCACATGGGTGCAGGGGCCCAAGTACTGGGACCATCTAATGCTGCTTTGCCAGGTGCATTAACAGGGAGCTGGATGGGAAGTGGGACAGCTGGGACTGGAACCAGTACCTGGATGGGATGCACGGGTCCCAGGCAGCAACATTACAACGCTGGCCCTAGAAAGGTTTCTTGAGGAAGGAATTACTTCAGATGGGCTTTGATTTACGAGTGGGCTTTTGACAGATACAGGGAATAACTGAAGAAAGAATGAAGTTGGAAATGGTCCTGGGCTGATCCAACATGCGGTGGAGACTGATTTGACTCTAACAATATGTGTATATGTGTTTTTTGGGATGAGCAGTAGTGGAGAATGCGGTTGATTACTTTAAATAAATGTGTGTAAAAAAAACATTGGAAAGCCAAGCAGAAATTTTGATTTTTACTAAAATGAGATTTCTCTGAGTAAAGTGTTTAGATGTGCTCTAGTATAATGCCTTTTTTGTGATGCTAAAATATAAATAAAATATAATGAAGTGTTATAAAATTATTCATTATGGAAAAATATATACTGTTTTATTTATATGCTTTGAAGATTAAAAAAGGTCATTAACTTGGAATGCTGTTCTATGTTTTATGTATATTATTACTCTATTTCTTTTTACCTTTCCTTTTTGAGAGATCCCTTAGTAATAGCAAAACCATGCCCCCTTCCCAAGAGATACAGCTTGTTTCAAATTAATGTCATAGTAAATATAAAAAAACAGTTACAAAAAGATAAGGAACAAAATTTGAGCTGCAGAAACTGGGAATGATGGAGGGCTTAATGTTATATCATTCTCATTAAACACTGTTGTTTCCTGAGTCCTTGCCTAGCTTTTTCCCTTGCAGCCAGGTAACTGACTCTTGCCTCAGAGAGAGTAATAATAGTTGGAGGATTCTCTTAGACCAGAGTTGGCAAACTTTTGCTATAAGTGGTCAGATAGTGAATATTTCAAAACTTTATGAGCCATATGGTTTCTCTTGCGAGCAATCACCTGTCATTGTCACATGCACAGACATTGAAAATATGTAAATGAACAATTATGAGTATGTTCCAGTGAAACAATTTACAGAAACAGGCAGCAGATAGACCTAATGAGGCATTCATTCTACTAGATCTTACAGCCAAATATTTTCATCCTCTACTAGCTGCTCTGGTAGGTTGTCTTCTGCCCTTTCTAAGTTCAACTCTTGAGCTTGTTCACTAGATTCCATCCCTTCTAATCTGCCTAAGGACATCACTATTGCATTTCATTCCTCCATCATCACTTTTTACTAGATCATTATTTATAAATATTCAGTCATGCTGTAATTTAACCCATTTACTAAAAGCAATAAATAACCCCATTTCAACTCCTCTACCTCTTGGTCATTTGTAGTAAAACTACTTGGAAAGGCAGGCATTGTGGTGTAACTGCTTAAGCTGCTGCTTGAGAAACTAGCATCCCATATTGGAGTGATGGTTTTAGTCTTGGCTACTTCTCTTCCCACTGAGCTTCTTGCTATTACATTCTGGGAAGCAGCAGATCATGGCCAAATGCTTGGATCCTTATGACCATTATGAGAAAACCAAATGGAATTCCTGGCTCCTGGAGTTAGCCTGGCCTAATCCTAGTGCAGCCATTTGGGGGAGTGAACCAACAAATGGAAGATCTGTCTCTGTACTCCCACTTTCCCTCCCTGTGCTGTGCTTCAGTAGATGAAAATAAATAAATGAACATTAAAAAAAAACTATAAAAACTCCTTGGAAGAGTTGTTTGTAATACTCTGTTTTTCTTCCTGTTTTCTGTTAAACCCATGGTAGCCTTTCTCCTTTGTAACTCCACTGAAACAGTTTAATCAATTTCTCCAGGGATCTTGACATTAAGTCCAGTGGTCACTTTTCAATCCTCATATTACATAAGAGTTAATCATTATCCTGGAAACATTTCCTTCACTTTGCTTTCAGGGTACCACATTCCTGATTTACTCTCAGTTTTCATTGGTCATTTCAGTCTGACTTGCTGGGTCTTTCTTATCTCTTCCCTCTAAATAGTAGTATAGTTTGAGACTCAGGCCTTGGACTTCTCTTTGTTTACCTACCTTTTAGTGATTTTATCCTATTCCAAATGCATGGATACACACACAGACACACACACAAAAACACACAGAGATGACTCCCAAAATTTTATCTTTGACCTATATCTCCATATATTCTGCATTTGGCTACATACTCCACATTACCACTTCACTGTCATATAGCTCAAATTTTACAAGTCTAAAAATAAGCATTTTATATACTTCCCTACTTTCACTGTCTTTTATTTTAGTAAGTAACAACACAGTTCTTCCAGTTGCTGAGCTCAGAACTTTTAGTTATCCTTGACACTTCTCTTCTGTCAGAGAAACCTGACCTGTAAACAGATTTTGTAGGCCCTGTCTTCCAATATAATCAGCATCTGACTGTACCTCACTTTGCCCACCAAGCTGCCATAATCTCTTGCCTGGATAGTTGTGCTGGTCACTTGCTTCCATTTTTATTTCCCTCCCAAATACTTTTGTTTTTAAGATAGCAACATGATCTCTTTACAAAGTAATTCAGCTATTTTATTTCTCTTCCCAAAATGTTCCAGTACTTTCCCATCTCGTTCAGAGTAAAACCAGAGTCTGCAGTATCCATGAGGCCCTGTTTTTGTCCCCTTTTGCTTCCTTAATATCATCCTACTACTTTCCCTCTTACACTTTCTATTCCAGTCATGCTGATGCTATTTTTTTTTAAATTAA